GGAGGACTTAATAAAGCTTGATATGTTCTGATTTCTTGGTCTGGATTAGTCTAGACAAATGGAAATCGTAAACTGGAGTGCTGCATATTCAGAATGGAAGAACTCAAGCTTAATCCAATAAGACTAAAATAGCAGAGAGTCGAGAAGATGCGTTATACCCAAGCTAAAATCTTGTGGATTGAATGGTGAAATTGCAAGTCATAAGTACTCAATAAATTCCAGATAATGCCAACACAAGGCTATTAAGATCAAGTCTAAGCCTATGACACTTTATTAAGTGTCATTTTATTTATTTTCCTGTGGTAGGAAAGTCAATTTGTATCCATTTTCCTGCTAGCAGGAACCCCAGCACAGCAGCAGGACCAGCTCCACTACTGGTGTAGACACTCTTAGTCTTGGTCCGCACTGAGATTCATAGATCTTCCATGCTGGCCCATATTCTCTCCTTGTATAATCTGTCTATATTCACTTTCCCAGCATCTAGCCAGGTGCAAGATACCTAGTTTTTATTTATTTATTATGTATGTTATATATTTGATTTATATTCTGCCTTTTATTTAGGAGCTTGAGACAACATATATGGGATTCCCTCCCATCTGATTTATCCGCAGATAATTGGACATGAGACCCTGCTTGTGAAGTAGGGCTCCAGGGATCAGATGAGATGGCTGCTACTGTACTAGCCTCCTTGTTGTGTAGCTGCCTCCCTACCTGAGCTGCTGGATGCCGTGGCTGGGTTGGTGGTGGTGGAGTTCTCCAGGTTTATGGTCTTGGGGTCTTCAGTCTGCCTTTCCCAGGCACAGAATCAGAAGCAGCTCAGAAGTTCATGACAACCATGAACCTGGCCCAGGTCGCTAAAAGCCTGATACAGACAGGAGGAGAGTCACATGTGTGATCTGGTTTTAGTCTCAGGCTAATGATGGTGTGATCTGGAGTTGGGAGATGACACTATTAGTTCCTTGTCATGGATGGATCACTCTTTGTTAGCCCGGGAGTTTTCTGTGGCTGTGTCCCCCTCGCCCCTGCCCCCAGGGACCTGATAGACCCAGCTGGCTTTCAGAGGGAGCAGATCATGCCTGTGCAGATTGTTGGTAGATCCTAGCGACCTCAGTTTCAGAGGAGCTCTGGAAGATGACATGGCAGAAGGGACACCAAGAGGGCCACTAACAGAAGGCAAAAGCAAACCTTTGTTTATAGCAGTAAGAGTGACAAAATGTATTTTTTTTGCTTTTATTGCATGCACAGATTGCTGGCTGGTGGCTTTATTTAAAGTGACCCAGTCACTCATGGGTAAGAAGGGATGAGGAGAGTACCTGCAAGCCCACTATATAGGCATGTGGCAGATAAAGTTGCTTGGATCCTACTTGATGAGCAGTTGGTAGCCATGACCAGGGGAACTTTCATACAATTCTATGCCCTTTTCTGGATTGGGAGGCCCTATTCACGGGGACAGTTGGATTTCTGCAGTGCTTTCTATGTGGGACTGGCCTTGAAATTGCAACTGGCCCAGAATCACCTCAGTGCATCCATGTGACACCACTACTTTGTGAGCTGCACTGGCTCCTAGTAAGGTGCTGGTTATGGGCCATACATAGCACAGGCCCAGGTCATTGGCAAGACTGCCTGTCCCTCAAGAGTTCACAGGGTGGGCATTGTCCAAGGTCCTTCTTTGAGCCAGTGTCACCTAATGGGGCTTAGAAGAGGTGTCTTCTCTGTTGCTGTGCCTGCCCTTTGGAGCAAGCTTCACCCCGCTGAAATTCAGTAGCCCCAACCCTGTTAGCCTTCCGTAGAACCATGAAGACCTACCCTCCCCCCCGCATTGGACCCAGATGGTAGTGAGAGTAAGTGTTTGCTATACCCAGCCTAAGCTGGTAAAATCAATTGTATTTTATTATATTGGTTCAGATTTGCATTTATCTTTGGACCTAATTGTTTTTTATTTTTATTGATGTAACTTTGTGAGTGGGTGATTTTATAAATTCCTTAAACAAATACACTTGAGCCCTGCAAGAACCCCTCTGTGATGTAGGTTGTGCTGAGAAGGAGAAACTGCCTTACAGTCACCCAGTGAGTTTCCAGGGCTGAAGGTGGAGATGAAATATAATGAGACAGTTGAAAAAGAGTGGCCTACAGATTCTCAAAACAATTAAGACTGACTAATAAAGGTTAGCTAAAGAAATAATCTACACTACAGAAGTCTGAATTTGTGTGTGTGTGTGTGTGTGTGTGTTTCCATAGATGCTGAAACATTAGAGCCTGTTGAAAAGAAACAGCGCCAGCAGCTTGAATACCTGGAGTCTGATGAGTTTCAAGAGATATTGAATGCTCGATCTAAACACATGGGTGTCCTTAAGGAGGTGAGCCTGCCCTACACGAAATTATTTTGAATAGCCAAGAATCAAGAAATTCTTAGTACAGGTTGTCCTCGTTTAGCAACCACAATTGGGAAGGGCAACTCAGTCGTTAAGTGAAGCGGTCGCTAAGTGAAACTGACTGTGCTTATGATCTTACGTCAGCTTTGCTTTACAGACCTGCAAAGGTTGTATATGCAAGGATTGGTCGTAAGGGTACTTTTTCATCACCATCATAACTGAACAGTCGCTAAACAAGGCAATCGCTAAACAAGGACTACCTGTATTGGGCCATTTGGAAGTGTACAACTGTAGCTTTAAAAAACCTGATTATGCAATTTAAATTAATTTTACAGCACAACTTGAGGTGCTGGTTAAAGCTATCCATAAGCGTTGGACTGCAGGCGAAGTAGGAAATGAGAGTCCTGCCCATCATTGGGGGAAAAAACACTAAATTAACGTGTGTGTGTTAAGCTAGAAAATTTCCCAATTTTCCTTTTGCTAGCATTTGTCCTGTTTGTACCCTCATCTACAATTAAAGAGTAGCAGTGCAGCATAGGATTTGCAGGGGGGCGGGGGGGGCAAGCAATAGCTAATGTAATAAGACTGCCCAGAACAATTCCATACAGTATATGACAAGTGTGGATTTCCTATCAGGTGCATCTTAAATTTTTAGGTGAGATGGGGTTTTCTTAGATTTTTTAACCCGCCTTTATTATTTTTATAAATAACTCAAGACTGCGAACATACCTAATATACCTAAGAATATACCTAACATACCTAAGGAACATACCTTCCTCCTCTTATTTTCCCCACAACGACAACCCTGTGAGGTGAGTTGGGCTGAGAGAGAGGGACTGGCCCAAAGTCACCCAGCCAGCTTTCATTCCTAAGACAGGACTAGAACTCCCCGTCTCCTGGTTTTAACCACTAGACCAAACTGGCTGTCTATTTAACTAAGCATGGCTTATTGTATCTAAATATACCTCCCTATTCAGATTTTTAAAACATTTAGCAACATAACTGTTACCCAGGCATTTGAGCTAGGAAGTTAGGCGAACTCTGATGCTGGCCATGTGGCTGGCTGGCTGGCTGGCTGGCTGGCTGGCTGGCTGGCTGGCTG